AAGGCCAGGAGCTACTAGTAGCGTCCTTGCTTCTTGCTCCTAGTAGCGATGCCCTTTGTTCCTAGTAGATTCTTGTTCCTAGTAGTAAGGCCAGGAGCTACTAGTAGCATCCTTGCTTCTGCCCTTTTTTCCTAGTTGCTTCTTGTTCCTAGTAGTAAGGCCAGGAGCTACTAGTAGCGTCCTTGCTTCTTGTTCCTAGTGGCGATGCCCTTTGTTCCAACTAGCTTCTTGCTCCTAGTAGTAACGCCGGGAGCTACTAGTAGCGTCCTTGCTTCTTGCTCCTAGTAGCAATGCCTTTTGTTCCTAGTAGCTTCTTGTTCCTAGTAGTAAGGCCAGGAGCTGGTAGTAGCGTCCTCGCTCCTAGTAGCGATGCCCTTTGTTACAACTTACTAGTAACTTCTTGTTCCTAGTAGTGAGGTCAGGAGCTACTAGCAGCGTCCTTGCTCCTAGTAGCGATGCCCTGTTGCTACCGGTTTTGGATTGCAACCAAGACAGACTTTGCGCCTGAAACATATCATCAGTGCAATCGTCGAGGCCATCCAACTCAATGTAAATGCTGACCTCTCACAATCCGCAGCCACTTCAGTGTTGTTTGTAGAACATGAACTTTCTCAAAGACTTTCAGGTTTTGAATGCTTTCGGTGCAGCTGATCGTAGAATCCAGTGATTTGATTTTAACTCACCACACTTTACCTTGACGAGCTGACCAACTGGCCAACAAATCTGACTGAGTTCTGGCTGCGTCCTGCCTGCTTCTTTCCATCCCCCCAGCTATACTTGGTGATCGCATCGCCAGCACTGCTCATGTCCTCCAAATCGGATCGCACTTCCCAAGCTACTAGGAACAAGAAGCTACTAGGGAATCCGCCGACCCCACACCGTGGGGTGAGGCGTGACTGTCGATGTTAGCCTTAGCCTTAAGCCTTAGCCTTAGCCTTAGCTTTATCCTTAGCCTTAGACCTAGTCCTTAGCCTTAGACCTAGACCTTACCTCCCCTACCCCTCCGGACCCTTGTTGCAGTGACGAAATCCGGTTGGAATTCTCCAGGAAAGCTACCTGATTGCGACGTGGATTCTGCCATCCCAATTGATTTACATCTTGGGGCACCCTCTCGACCCGCGCGGGAAAATAAGCAGGGTCCAAAATGGTCCTGGGCTCGAATCCCGGGCTGGTCGCGGCATGGTCCCGGCCAATGCCCTTGCTTTTTCGTAGATTTTGTCACGTTTTCTGTTGGTTTATGAAATTATCAAAGGCTTTTCTGGCATTTTCCTAGGAATGCTCTAGGCTTTGTCTAGATTTTGTTATGTTTTCGGCTGGATGCTTTTCCTAGAATTTTCTAGCGCTTCCTCTTGTTTTTAGGTTCCCAGATTTCTCCCAAAAATTGGTAACCTTTTGCTAACCTATGGAACTTTGAAAGGCTTTTCTAGCATTTTCCTAGGAATGCTCTAGGCTTTGTCTAGATGTTGTTATGTTTTCGGCTGGATGCTTTTCCAAGAATTTTCTAGCGCTTCCTCTTGTTTTTAGGTTTCCAGATTTCCCCAAAAAATTGGTAACCTTCTGCTAGTTCCCGGCCAATGCCCGTGATTTTTCCTAGGAATGCTCTTGGCTGCACTTAGATTTTGTTACGTTTTCGACTAGATGCTAGGAATGCTCTAGGCTTTCTTTATTCGGGAGGGTGCTTTTCCAAAAATTTTCTTGCATGTCCTCTTGACTTAGGTTCCAGATTTGCACCAAAAATTGTTAACCTTTCGGTGAGGAACGCATCATCATCACCACGGGGTTCATGCAAGAGATCACGTATGGTAAATCTGGGAGGTACCCACAAAGTCGACTTTTTGGGTACCTGCTGTGGTGGTGATGGGTCTGAACTCTTAGGCAATGATATCCCTTATGGGGAGAAGGGTTCAGCATCACGGGGTTCACGCAAGCGATGACGTCCGATGGTAAATCTGGGAGGTACCCCACAAGTCGACTTTTTGGGTACCTGCTTTGGTGGTGATGGGTTGGGTCACCGGGAGAAACCGATCGATTCAGCACAAGTCCGGGCGCCAAGTCGACTTTTTGGGTACCTGCTTTGGTGGTGCTGGGTTGGGTCTAAATTCTTGGGCAATGATATCCTGTTCATGCAAGCGATGACGTCCGATGGTAAATCTGGGAGGTACCCAAAAAGTCGACTTTTTGGGTACCTGCTTTGGTGGTGATGGGTTGGGTCACCGGGAGAAACCGATCGATTCAGCACAAGTCCGGGCCGACACTTGTGGCACTTGAATGTACCCTAGACCATGGGCAGCGCCCTGCGGCCCCACAGGCTGCAGAACCCAACGCGTCACGGGGTTCATGCAAGAGCTGACGTCCGATGGTAACTCGGGAGGTACCCAAGAAGTCGACTTTTTGGGTACCTGCTTTGGTGGTGCTGGGTTGGGTCTAAACTCTTGGGCAATGATATCCTTTATGGGGACGAGGGTTCAGCATTACGGGGTTCATGCAAGAGATGACGTCCGATGGTAGACCTGGGAGGTACCCAAAAAGTCGACCTTTTGGGTACCTGCTTTGGTGGTGAAGGGTTGGGTCTAAATTCTTGGGCAAGGATTGGGGTTCATGCAAGAGCTGACGTCCGATGGTAAATCTGGGAGGTACCCGAAAAGTCGACTTTTTGGGTACCTGCTTTGGTGGTGCTGGGTTGGGTCTAAACTCTTGGGCAATGATATCCTTAATGGGGACGAGGGTTCAGCATCACGGGGTTCATGCAAGAGATGACGTCCGATGGGAAACCTGGGAGGTACCTGCTTTGGTGGTGATGGGTTGGGTCACCGGGAGAAACCGATCGATTCAGCACAAGTCCGGGCGCCGATACGTGTGGCATTTGAATGTACCCTAGACCATGGGCAGCGCCCTGCGGCCCCACAGGCCGCAGAACCCAACGCGTCACGGGGTTCACGCAAGAGCTGACGTCCGATGGTAAATCTGGGAGGTACCCAAAAAGTCGACTTTTTGGGTACCTCCTTTGGTAGTGCTGGGTTGGGTCTAAACTCTTGGGCAATGATATCCTTAATGGGGGCGAGGGTTCAGCATTACGGGGTTCATGCAAGAGATGACGTCCGATGGTAAACCTGGGAGGTACCCAAAAAGTCGACTTTTGAAAAAACAGAGACAGTCCTCTATCGTGGAACCCACCTTTGCAGTTTGGCCTGCGACGGGTCCTCGGCGATAGAGTGTGCCTGGACAGCAAGATATAGACGCGGACTCGTCGGTCAGGAACGCATCATCATCACCACGGGGTTCATGCAAGAGATCACGTATGGTAAATCTGGGAGGTACCGAAAAATTTGACTTTTTGGGTACCTGCTGTGGTGGTGATGGGTCTGAACTCTTAGGCAATGATACCCCTTATGGGGAGAAGGGTTCAGCATCACGGGGTTCATGCAAGCGATGACGTCCGATGGTAAATCTGGGAGGTACCCAAAAAGTCGGGGTTCATGCAAGCGACGCGATGACGTCCGATGGTAAATCTGGGAGGTACCAAAAAACTCGACTTTTTGGGCACCTGCTTTGGTGGTGCTGGGTTGGGTCTAAATTCTTGGGCAATGATATCCTGTTCATGCAAGCGATGACGTCCGATGGTAAATCTGGGAGGTACCGGGAGAAACCGATCGATTCAGCACAAGTCCGGGGGCCGACACTTGTGGCACTTGCATGTACCCTAGACCATGGGCAGCGCCCTGCGGCCCGACAGGCTGCAGAACCCAACGCGTCACGGGGTTCATGCAAGAGCTGACGTCCGATGGTAACTCGGGAGGTACCCAAAAAGTCGACTTTTTGGGTACCTGCTTTGGTGGTGCTGGGTTGGGTCCAAATTCTTGGGCAATGATATCCTTTATGGGGACGAGGGTTCAGCATTACGGGGTTCATGCAAGAGATGACGTCCGATGGTAAACCTGGGAGGTACCCAGAAAGTCGACCTTTTGGGCAATGATCGGGGTTCATGCAAGAGCTGACGTCCGATGGTAAATCTGGGAGGTACCCAAAAAGTCGACTTTTTGGGTACCTGCTTTCGTGGTGCTGGGTTGGGTTTAAACTCTTGGGCAATGATATCCTTAATGGGGACGAGGGTTCAGCATCACGGGGTTCATGCAAGAGATGACGTCCGATGGTAAACCTGGGAGGTACCCACAAAGTCGACTTTTTGGGTACCTGCTTTGGTGGTGATGGGTTGGGTCACCGGGAGAAACCGATCGATTCAGCACAAGTCCGGGCGCCGATACGTGTGGCATTTGAATGTACCCTAGACCACGGGCAGCGCCCTGCGGCCCCACAGGCCGCAGAACCCAACGCGTCACGGGGTTCATGCAAGAGCTGACGTCGCTCTTCTCCCCCACAAAACGCATAACACAGACACCGGCTGCCTCTCACCCGACGACTTGGGTGATCCTGCATTTTGCTCCAGGGGTGCTCCAGGAAACCCTACCCTCCCCACATCCAGGACAACGTCCTTCCTCCCACCGTGGAACCACCCGCTTCCACACCCTTCCGTC